GACAACATGATGTGGGTGACAGTGAGGGCTGACTGTGACAGTAGGGGTGACAGGCTGGCAGGAGGGGTGACAGGGCTGACAGTGTGACAGGAGGGGTGACAGGAGGGGTGACGGTGGCAGGAGGGGTGACAGGGTGGCAGGAGGGGTGACACTGAGGGCTGACAGTGGGAGTGACGCCAGCGGGTGACAGTGACGGTGACCCCCACAGGTGCTGGTGGTTCCAGGGCTGACAGTGTGACTGTAGGGGTGACGGTGGGGGGTGACGATGCGATGGTAGGGGTGACACAGGGTGACAGCGTGACGCGGGTGACGGTAGGGTTGACACCATCAGGTGACGCCATCAGGTTGACACCATCAGGTTGACACCATCAGGGTGACACCATTGGGTGACACCATCAGGTCGACACCATTGGGTGACACCATTGGTTGATACCATTGGTTGACACCATCGGGTGACAGCAACGCTGACCCCCCATTGGGTGACACCATTGGTTGATACCATCGGGTGACAGCGACACTGACCCCCCATCGGGTGACACCATCGGGTGACACCATTGGTTGACACCATTGGGTGACAGCAACGCTGACCCCCCATTGGGTGACACCATTGGTTGATACCATCGGGTGACAGCGACGCTGACCCCCCATCGGGTGACACCATTGGTTGATACCATTGGTTGACACCATTGGGTGACAGCAACGCTGACCCCCCACCGGGTGACACCGTCGGGTGACACCATTGGTTGACACCATCAGGTTGACCCCATCGGGTGACACCATTGGTTGACCCCATCGGGTGACACCATTGGGTGACAGCGACGCTGACCCCCCACCGGGTGACACCGTCGGGTGACACCGTCGGGTGACAGCGACGCTGACCCCCCCCTCACAGGTTGCGGTGTTGATTCTGGCGGTGATTCTGGCGGTGATCCCGGCGTTGTTTCTGGCGGTGACGATTCCCGCGGTCCGGCTGTTGCCGGTTCGGGTGTTGCGGGTGCGGGTGACGCCATGGCGGCGGTGCGGGCGCAGCTGGAGGCGCTGGTGGAGGCGGCGGACGCGCTGGTGGCCCACGGGCAGCACGGGGTCTATGGGGACAGCAGGGAGAGGCTGCAGCTCCGACTCAACGCCCTGCGGGGGACGGCCGCTAACAGGTAACCCCATAGCGCCCCATAGCGCCCCATAGCGCCCCATAGCGCCCCACAGCGCCCCATAGCGCCCCATAGCGCCCCATAGCGCCCCATAGCACTCCATATCACCTGAATGTCACCCCATAGCACCCCATAGGCACCCCATAGTGCCTCATAGCACTCCATAGCACCCCATAGCATCCTGTGGCAGCCCATACTGCCCCATAGCGCCCCATAGTGCCCCATAGCGCCCCATGGCTCCCCATGGCACCCCATAGTGCCCCATAGCACTCCATGTCACCTGAATGTCGCCCCATAGCGCCCCATGGCACCCTATGGCGCCCCATAGAACCCCACAGCGCCCCATAGCGCCCTGTGGCACCCCATGGAACCCCATAGCATCCTGTGGCACCCCATGGCTCCCCATAGTGCCCTATGGCTCCCCATGATACCCCATAGCATCCTATAGCACCCCATAAAACCGCATAGCTCCCCATGGCACCCCATAGCGCCCCATAGAACCCCACAGCGCCCCATAGCGCCCTGTGGCACCCCATGGAACCCCATAGCATCCTGTGGCACCCCATGGCTCCCCATAGTGCCCTATGGCTCCCCATGATACCCCATAGCATCCTATAGCACCCCATAACACCCCATAGCACCCCATGGCACCCCATGGCACCCCATAGCGCCCCATAGCACCCTGTGGCAGCCCATGGCACCCCATAGCGCCCCATAGCGCCCTATGGCACCCCACAGGCACCCCATAGTGCTCCATAGCACTCCATATCACCTGAATGTCACCCCATAGCACACCATGGCGCCCCATGGCACCCCATAGTGCCCCATAGCACCCCATAGGCACCCCATAGCACCCCATAGCATCCTGTGGCAGCCCATACTGCCCCATAGCGCCCCATAGAACCCCATAGTGCCCCATGGCTCCCCATGGCACCCCATAGTGCCCCATAGCACTCCATATCACCTGAATGTCGCCCCATAGCGCCCCATGGCACCCCATAGCGCCCCATGGCACCCCATAGCACCCCATGGTAGCTATAGCACCCCATAGCGCCCCATAGGCACCCCATGGCTCCCCATATTGCCCTATGGCTCCCCATGGCTCCCTATAGACACCCCATGGCACCCCATAGCGCCCCATAGCGCCCTATGGCACCCCACAGGCACCCCGTAGTGCCCCATAGCACTCCATATCACCTGAATGTCGCCCCATAGCACCCCATGGCGCCCCATAGCACCCCATAGCGCCCTATGGCACCCCACAGGCACCCCATAGCACCCAATGGCACCCTATGGTAGCCCATAGCACCCCATAGCAGCCACAGACACCCCACAACGCTTCATAGCGCCCCATAGCACCCTGTGGCAGCCCATGGCACCCCATAGCGCCCCATAGCACCCTGTGGCAGCCCATGGCACCCCATAGCACCCCATAGCGCTTCATAGTTCCCCATGCCACCCTGTGGCAGCCCATGGCACCCCATAGCATCCTATGGCACCCCATAGCGCCCCATGGCTCCCCATGGCACCCCATAGCACCCCATAGCACCCCATAGCACTCCGTATCACCCGAATGTCACCCCATAGCACCCCATAACACCCCAGTGTCACCCAACGTCACCCCATAACAACACCCCGATGTCACCCAACGTCACCCCATAACAACACCCGGATTTCACCCGATGTCACCCCATAACAACACCCCGATGTCACCCACTGTCACCCCTTAACAAGACCCCGATGTCACCCCATAACAACACCTGGATTTCACCCCATAACAACACCCCAGTGTCACCCAACGTCACCCCATAACAACACCCCAGTGTCACCCAACGTCACCCCATAACAACACCCCGATGTCACCCAATGTCACCCCGTGTCACAGCAGCACATCGCTGCGGCGCCGCGACGGTGACGACGGTGACGGTGGTGACGGTGGTGGTGACGTCGGTGGTTCCATCCATGCACAAGCGGAGCCGATTGACATGTTTGCGGAGGAGGAGGACAACAAACAGGCGCTGGAGGACCGAGCGCTGGAGGACAAACAGGCGCTGGAGGACCGAGCGCTAGGAGACAAACAGGCGCTGGAGGACCAGGCGCTGGAGGACCGAGCTGCCCTGGAGGACCGAAAGCTGGAGGACCAACAGGCGGTGGAGGACCGAGCGGCGTTGGAGGACCAGGCGGAGGGTGAGGGCGCGTTGGGGTGACGTAAGAGGATTTTTGGGGTCATTTGGGGGGTTTTGGGGGTTCTGAGGTTCTTTTTTAGGGGGTCTTTGGGGTTTTTTAGGGGTCTTTTGGGGCTTTT